GTTGTCCAGAATCGCGCCCAATGTGTCTGGATCTTTACATTGCGTGACTGCCAACTCTCACCTCTTTTCGGCCTCGGTTTTAATTTAAGCCAGTTTTTCACTTCAACCGTACCGTACCGAAACGGTGAGCATGCGCAGATTGAAAAGAGGTTAATAAATCCACGCATTTCCAACACCGCGGAAAAACCAAATTATGAAAATATGGCTGGGAATTTGAATATCAATTTCTACAACAAAAACGTGCTTATTTATTGGTAAAAAATTAGCCATCAAACGAGAAAATATGGCAAATGAGTAGACTGGACATTAATTGAAAGCGTCCTGGAATGAAATATAATTCATGTAAAAAATTGTTGATTTTAACGGACACAACTTCGAAAATTTTTGCAAAATTATTCCGAAACAAAAATTCAAACTAAAAAGTTAAGAAAACTCTCGAAAAGTTAAGTTTCTTAAATTAACCCACTCAAATTGTAGAATAAATTCTAAAGTTTAATTATTGTGAACACGATAATTTTTTATATTTGGCGACACAGTTTTTTTTAAAGAAATGTATCTAAAACGAAAATTCGGAAATTGTCGTTGCTTAGTTGATAAACAAAATGTTTCAGACGATAAATTTGTCAACAATCACCTTTAGTTCATGTTCTTGTACAATACAATTTCTTGAACCTTCTGGCTGTATTTATTCCTAGTTTTTAGAATGACATGTTTATTTTTGCGCTCGAAATCTGGCTGTAAAGACGCACAATGAAGTCACTCCTTTTTACCGCCATTTTGAGCCTTCGGAAACGTTCGGAACAGCTTCTCATCAAGTTCGCAATACTATTACAGGTGAGGTTGACGCATGCGCAGACGTTTTTCCGCGGTGTTATTCGCGTATCAAAATGAAAAGGTAATCGTTCCATGTTTCGCGCACCAATATAGAAAACGTTATGTAATGGATATTATAGTGTACTGAAAAGTTCACTAGATACCTCCATACACATATAACACACCCTAACCCCAACCTTAAACCTAACCCCTAACCCTAACCTAACCCTAATACCCAACTCCTAACCCTAACCTATATTGGTGCGCGAAACATGGAATGATAACCAAGTTTTTGGCGTACTACGGAAGTATTAACAAATCAACATTCACTAAATTTTGAAATTTAAAAATGTTGTTATTTGATACGTTTCGGTACGGTACGCTTGAAGTGGAAACTGAGTTAGTCGTATTAACTATCGTGAACATTCGAAGTGACCGATCTTTTAAATTCGATATATACTAGTACTACACGCCGGAGGTAGGTAGGTAGGTAGCTGAGATTACTTTACAATCTTGAAAGCGCACAGGATCGTCTATTTTGCCATTAGTTTCAGTCCTCAAACGTAATTTTTTTTTAAATATTGGGTTGATTTATAAGAGCAAGTGTTGTTGATCCCTGACATGTGTCGATAATCTTTAGACTTTACAGTCCCCAGTGACGATTGACTTTAATACTGAGCACACAAAAGACGAGGTAGATTCAGACTAATTTGCATCTTCAAATATGAATTGGTCAGGACAGTTACCACGAAAATAGACCACGCTTTACGGCCACAACTCACAAGTAATTTAGTTGTGCTCTCTTCGGCTGTTAGCAATATGTCAATCGCATCATCTATTCACCGAAAGTAGAATATATTGAAGTAGAATAATTAATTTAACTTACCTATCAAGTTGGGAACGAATAAGTACACGTTTTCAGTCATTCTTGCACAAATTCTGAAACAAAACCCGCAGCATTCAACTTAAACAACGCAAGAGCTAATAATGATACGCAAGAGCTAATAATGATATAGACTTGGGAATGTTGAATTGTATCTATTAAATCGGTTTCATGCATGCAATGAATAAATTAATTTTCTCATTTATAAACAACAAAACCACTATTCCAATATACTGTTCTTAACTATTGTTCAATTGACCTGATCTCATTTCATTTCATTTCAAAACCTTATAAAGTTAAACACACTTTAAGTTTTAAAATGAAATCTTATCAATCTACATCAAAACGAAAGATATATTTTTTTAAATTTAATAAATGTAAATCTTCGCTTGCATTGTATAGACCACGTGCCGTTTACCTCGAAAATAATGCCGCTCATGCATGACATCTGAACTGACAACTTGAAACAAGACGCTACTCTGTTAAGGTGGCTCGATATAGTTATCACAAGAACCCTGCTCAAGAATCGCGAACTCAAAACCGGGTGATCATTTTTACGCGCAGGTCGCGGAAACCGATTTACAAAATGAAAGAACTTCCAAAAAGACGTGACGTGAGCAGTTGCTCGCGCCATATCACGCCATTGCGCGTGTTCTATAGCGTTTTATCACAGAGTAGATAAGACATACAGAGACGTAACTAACCTTTATAAACACTGCGGAAGATTACGTTATCATGTATACCCACTTTTTTTCAGGCGACCGGGCAAAAAATGATCAACTGCGCGTGCTCAGCAAGTTTAAAGTGAGTCGTCATCAGGTCGTCATCCAATCAGATGCATGCATCTAGTAACTTGCCGAGCATGCGCACAAAAAAAGTGGGTACACTAGTTACATCTCTGTATGTCTCTACTCTGTGGTTTTATGTCACTATTGTTGACGTCATTAGAATTTTCCATTTTAGAAAAACAATGCGCTATATCTCTTTATTTTGTCTGGTGACCTATGTTCAAATTTTGCATGCTGTATTGCACCGCTAAAAACTTTCATTATACTAGAAGTTACTAACGCAAGGAAATGCTGCCTCACGGTCAAAACTTTGAGTTAGGTTGTTCAAAATCTGTTTATAATCCGTGGATAATACAAAGCTAAATAACACTATAATGGAAACATAACACTACAATTATAGTTTTTAAAACAATAAAAATCGTATGTTATTGTATTGTAAGAATCGCGTGCATATATGTTACAACAATATTCTAATTATCTAAAATTAAGAAAACAGTTCTCTGTAATGAAACAGGTCATTTTCTGAGCACTCCAAACGATAGTATGTCATAAAAATGAACAAATTATGGGTCATTCCACGGCTTATTTCTCCGACAATATATCTATAATGTGACCCGCAGGGCTACCTCCACACATTTAGCTATTATGCGATTGTCACTAAGGTTAATGTCACTAATATTCTTAGACACAAAGTCAAGCGTGGTCACCTCTAGAGTAATAACCTGGAATGACTAACAGTTAATAACACTATTAATAATGGATAAATATAATGGATAAATATAATGCACAAAACCCAAGGACTGTTTATACTATTAACAATGGAAATATAACATTATTATGTATACCATAACATTACTATTATACGTCTATACCATAACACTAGTAATAATGGAAGCGCATAACACTATTATATATCCTGTCTGTCTGTATGTTTTTTTTACAAAAAACTGTTAAAAGCTACATATCTTGTAAGCAGGTGAACTTATTAATGATCTTATGACACTATACAAGGCTATACAACACTATCCAATGTTATAAAAGACTATACAACACTACTGTATATAAGGCTATACAAGACTATATGACACTATACAGCGTTATACAAGACTATACGACACTATACAAGAGTATACAACTAACTATACAAGGCTATACGACACTATACAACACTATATAACGTTATACAAGACTATATAACAACATATAAAGGCTATACGACACAATAACAAGACTATCAAAATTACGACACTATACAAGATTGTACATGACAGACTATACAACACTACACAACGTTATGCAACACTATACAACACTATATAAGGATATACGATACTACACAATGTTAATTATACAAGACTATACGACATTGTGTAAAGACTATACAACACTATACGACACTACACAATAATACACAAGGCTATACAACACTATACAACGTTATACAAAACTATACAACATTATATATAAGGCTATGCGGCACTATACAACGTTATACAAGACTATATAACAATATATAAAGCTATACAACACTATACAATGTTATACAAGACTATACAACACTATATAAGGCTATATGACACTAAACGACACTATGCAACATTATACAACAGTATACAAGACTAGATACGGCACCATACGACACCATACAACGTGATACAAGACGATACACCAATACATAAGGATATACGACACTTTACGACACTATACAACGTTATACAAGACTATATGACACTATGCAAGACTATACAACGCTATACTACACTATAGACGACTATTTAACAAGACTATAGAGACTAAACAACACCATACAACGTTATACAAGACTATACGACACTATATGTCATTTCGATGTTTTCGTTCCTGGTTGAGTTAATAGTTATATACCCTATACAGATTACAGTTGATTCATTCGCTTCAATGGGTAAAATAATTCGACAAAAATACGTTGTTACTTGTAATCAAACTTTCATCTTACCTTCAATACTTTCGATAAACAGCCAGACGTAAAATAATATTTCGATAAACAGCCAGACATAAAATTTGCAGCAAGCTGGAATCAAAATTAATTTACAACAGCACGAGGTGATGTTATTTACAAATAGTAATAGTCCATGGTGGTGTTCGTGAGTCTCAACCCGGGTATTCGGAAAGTCAAATCGCGATCTGGAGTATGTTATTTTTTAAAATTTCTGTGACGTCAAAATACGTCATAAATCTGATCATCCGTACATTCGTACCACAGGGGGCAGAAAAGTACGATTGTGTTTATTTAAAATACCTTGTCATCAACCAATATATCGCATAGTTTCATCCAGGTTTCATCACGATGAAAAATTGAAAATTATGTTGATTTTCGATAATATCATGCCTACTACTTCATGTAATTCAAACATTGTATTACAAGGACTGACCATAGTAGCGTGGGCTCATACTAGAACGATTGACTGGCATCCTTTCGTAAGATGTTCGGAAATTGTCGTTGCAATGCAATATGTTTGAATTACATCAAGTAGAAGGCATGATATTATCGAAAAAATAAAAATCAGCTAATTTTGATCCTTTTATGACTATGTCTGCGGATTGTTGTAATATAAATATGGGATATTGGTTGATGACAAGGTATTTATAAAACACAATCGTACTTTTCTGCCCCCTGTGTTCGTACATGCAAATAAAATCGAGTTGTCGCTCGGCTATACATAACTCGGCCAACCGGAAACGGACTGGTGCGAGAAAAACACATCGTCAAGAATAGGTGGCTGCAACAGGGTCGGCGTTAGATCATATAGCGTTAACGTACAGTGACGTCAAAATTCTTAAGACCGGAAGTTGCTAGGATTTAGAATTTTTTTCCAAAATGACGTCAGAGGTTTCATATTATTGCGCGAAGTTAATTGCGCAAAAATTTAAAAACAACAATGGAGGACGCTTCAAGTGAATGCGAAGGACAGTTTTTGTTTCTTTCGAGGGATGAATTGTTTAATGCTTTTGAAGATTTTAAGAAAGATACTTGCACTGGATGGCGTTGCGTCTTTAAAGACTCAAAATTTGGTAAGTTTGGTAAACTGTTCAATAATTCATAACATGCAAATGAGAATAGACCATATTAATATACGGTACTACGGTAGCGACCAAATTTATACGAATAGTGTGTGGATCTATTAACAAACACATCATTTGACAGCAGTAGATCGACGGAATTCCCTCATAATTTACATTTAGACACTGCAATGTAGGTCAATCATACTTTCACACACATGTTTGAATACAGGCTTAACAGTCAATTTGATATAATCACCAAAGTTATAGTCTGTTAACTTTGTACTGTTTTGTACTATAACATGATAATATGACCTTTTTATATGGATGGATTTTAATATAGAGATGGATGTGAAGAAACTTATCGAAGAGGCAAAGAATGCATCCAGAATAAAGTGGTCAGTATCTGCCATGAACGATGGGATATGCAGTAAATTTGATGGGATTCCTATTCTGTCAGCTGGGACAATGCAATTTCACTGCCACCAAGGTGTTGATATAGACTTACCACAAAAAATAAAAGAAAACAAATTAAGGATGACAAGGTATATTATATGAAATACATTCTATTTATTTTTATACATACAAACTTAAATAATATTTTGATTACCGTAAACTCCCTATATTAAGCCCCCTGGGGCTTATTCTATTCAGGTCCTTTTGAGGGGGCTTATTAGAGAGGGGGGGGGGCTTATTTAGTTACCCACAAAATCTTAGATAATTTTCTGCAAAAACCAAACAAAGTCCACGTTTAACAATTATATTATAACGTGTTTATAGTACGTATTATAACCTACCTAACGGAAATACCTAACGGATTAACTGAATTAAAATTTGTGACATACCTCTCTCCAATTATCGTAAACAGCAAGTGATATCATTACAAGACCGTCTTCAGATCGAGTAAAGTATATAACTGAAGTGTATCTTCAGTTATATCTCTAAATGTAGCGAAATCTAGAGTTTAAAGATTGCGTTTAAACTAAATAATACGACATAAACCTGAGGATATAATCTTCTTATCGCGCCTGCTGCTTGAAGTCCTTGAATTTAAATCCCACAAAGAGGGTCTTCCTGCGACTCGTGTAAGTTTACACTTCTGGCACAGTACTTCCGGTCTTAAGAATTTTGACGTCACTGTACGTACGTTAACGCTATATGATCTAACGCCGACCCTGCAACGGCTGGGCATTTTGTACGGAGCATGCGCGAAAAAATCAATATGGCGACATATTTATAGGAGTGCTTCGTGGATTTATCTGGTTTTAAAGCTGATAAAACAACATTTCAATGAATAAAAACTTTGTAATATTTAGTGGAAAACATTAAGCTATGCAGTCCAAAGGTTTTAAATTAAAAATAAGTACTTTTGCTTTATTTTATTGCTTTTTATGCTTTCAAAATAGGCAAGCTCATTTTTTTTTAAAGAATCTAAACTAATATTTTACCCATCATTTGTTTAATCTGAACAGAAATTGATAGAACACTTGGCTACATAAGTTATAAAGGGAATTGGTAGCTGATCTGAAAGATTTCAGTATTCCTGGTACACATTTTGGCAAAGAATGACTGTAATTTCAAAAATTAAATATGCATATCAAAAACAATAGTTTTTATTAGAACAACACATAATAAGTTGTTATTTTCTATTTTTACAAAAACAAGCTTGGAAACAGAATCTAGTCATCCAGTTTGATGTCATATTCCATTTATTTGGATATTTGAATAAAGGAATGTGAAATAATAATTGAAACTTGTCCAAAATTTGATACCAACACTCAAGTGAACAGATACTATCACCTAAAAATAAAAGAAAACAGAACTTAAATTTGTCATATAATGCTATGAAAAAGTCTTAGATACTACAGACATATAGTGAGCACAATGCTTTAACAAACTCACTAAAATAAGTTAAGTCATGCTATGATAAGAGGATGGCAATATATAACAACATCAAATGTTACCATCTTCAGTGTCCAAAAAAAGTGCCGCGCGCATTTTTCCCAGCATACCCACTAACTTTTCCATGAAGGTTGACTAATAAGGATAGTTTTAAGCCATATTTTGGAGAGAGGCAATGGTAAAAATTTTAAGATATTTTTATTTATATGCCATATCACCACAGAATTTCACAAAGCAAGCATGCCTATATTCAGGATTGCCGTTAGACTCTTAAAACTGAACAAATCAATGCGGCATTTCCTATCTCATAACAACCAATACTTGAACATTTTCAAAAGCATTTTTGCAGCAATTTTTACTTCATAACAAACCAATACAGGAGCAATTTCATAAGCATGTGACAACATGACATTTTCACTTCACAAGTGGATTTGTCAATTACAACATCTAGCACATTTTTCCCATGAATAGCTCAGGTTTTAATAAAACAACGTATGATTTAACTTTCATAAAATATATTTTCTAACTGAAGGCAACGGCCAGTTTCTACGAAATTGCAAGAGGAATATGTGTCATTTTCATCAAAATATGTATTTTAAGACACTTATTATTCCAGATGAGGAAGGACAAACAAATTATTGAACATACCTGTGGAAACAACAACAACTCAGCTTCAATCAAGAGTAAAATATGAACACTTACTTGTTTCCATACTGCTGTACCCTGCTTCTGAAACTCTGACAATGAGTGAAACATTTCCACTTGTCGCCCATTTGTAAATAAAAATTCTTCGCACGTTTTCATGCGATTAAGTCGTTATATCGTTGCGTACAAGCACTACAACTTAATCTTTCAAGAAACACTTTATTTTTCATGAACAAACCAGTAAAAGAGGACAAAAAATCCTCTCACAATGCATATTTTCAGCGTTCGAAGAATCAAAATGTTTGTTAAAGAAATGCGCCCGCAATATTTGGACAGCGACAACAGAATGCCCAGCTGTTGGAATAAGGCATTTTTGCGCGTCATTCTCAGTCCCCTTACGTGCGCGGTCAAGAAAACTTTTATATTTTTCTTTACTTTCCGAGTAAAAATCTGGTGAAAAACAGACGAAATTTGAATGAAAAGTTGAATTCTGGTGTTTTGTTTGGGTTCAGTTCTTTATTTTCATTATTATTTATTTAAAAGATGCGATATTTGAGTGGAAAGAAAGCAAAATAGCCGCGGGATTGTTGTTTTTGTAAATGACAAGGAGTGACAAAACAAAACACAAACTCACTCAATCTTTCAAAATATCTCTATTGTCCTTGTTGACAAAGGGTTTCACACACATAAGTAACTCATTAAAATGAACAGTTTAAGTTTATAAAGCAATCATCAAAGTGATTTTATTAAATAAAAAATAAAAAAACAAAATTTTCTTACATGTATGGAATTAAATTGGCTAAAAACTGCCTCGAAAACTGCAGTTAAAAAGCAGTTTTAGGTCGGGAAAACGTACTAAAATAAGCTAAATAATGGTGTGAAAACTGAAAAGCACCATAGAAACAAGATAACGAAACAACCAAAGCAAAAATAAATTCCCAATTTATAAAAATACAGATTTTATTACAAAAAACAAAAAAAAGTTTGAAATTAGTTGTTGAATTCGCAACGAAAAATACAGATTTACTCACATATACAGTGGGAAAATGCAGTAGACAGATCGATTAGATGAACGAAATCAGGTTTACATGAAATAAATGAAGTTTATTTCCTTTTTTTCTCTTTTAAAATGATGAAAAACACAACCCGAGAGTCGCGGACCCATCACTTCCCGCCATGAAAATATAAAAAATGTTTGGCCGCGCACGTAAGGGGACTGAGAATGACGCGCAAGAATGGCTTCAAAATCCGCCATCTTGGCTTCACTTTTTGATTACGTCAATGACTGAAGTCAGCCTTCCATGTATATAGTTCATTGGTGGAGACATGATTCGTGATCAAGTACGCATTCTATATCTATTATTTCTATGGTGTACCCGCGCGAATTTAGTAAGCGGAATAAACAAAAGCAATAAAAGCACATGCGCTATTTATCTCATTTTGGATAAAAAAAATTCGATTTCCCCAGAGTCATGCCACTACCTAACCCGCGAACAGGCATACTCTGGGAACGAGATTGATTTATCGGTGGAAAAGCGGAATAGAGTGTGTAATTTCTATTTAAATTTATTTCTTGTGTGGCAACGCCACTCTACCAATATACAATCTCACTCTTTTGCCCTGGGGGTAGGGGGGAATTTTGTCATTAAAGTGATTTTACTTTCCCCTGTACTCAGGGGCTTTGTTAATGTTTTGTTCCGTCCTCTTAACAAAGCCCCTGGGTGTCCCGGGGGTCGAACCCCGGGGAAGCCGATGATAAGTGCATTACATACCTATCAGCTAGGCTGGCTCACCTCGCTACACTACACATACTTTTTGGAGTCAATGCTTAGATACCTAGTTTTTCTTTTTGAAGTTATACTTAGCTCTAAATGATTTTTGGAGCTATAGCCAGTAGTAACTCCAGGCTTAGATGCCTAGCTCCTATTAAATTATTTTTTGAGTTATATACATACTTAGCTCCAAATGATTTTTGGAGTTAGCCAGACAGTAACTCCAGCCTTAGGTACCTAGCTCTTACATTTTTGGAGTTATATCTAATTTCAAATGATTTTTGGAGTTAGCCAGTAACTCCAGGCTTAAATACCTAGCTTTTAAATTATTTTTTGAGTTATACCTAGATCTAAATGATTTTTGGAGTTCGCAGTAACTCCACAATTCATATTTCAACTCGGTTAGTTTTGAATTAGATAGATAGATATATAGATAGATAGATAGATAGATAGATAGATAGATATACTGTAGATAGATAGATAGATTGATAGAAACTTTTATTTAAATAGGGTAATCCAATCAGTTACGATATTAACTGTTATCATTAGGAGCCCTATTGGCACACTTCTATTGTCTGGGTACTAAGCCTAGCGAAAAGGACATGTTGAACAGCTTGGTCAATGAAGGGGCAAAATGTCATATGGTCCGCACGCCTTTGTTGGGTCTAAGTGGTGAAGTTCTTTAGCAACTTGAAACTCTGTCAGTTCAATGTCAGACAGCTAGTTGAGAGGATGAAAATGTGGGTATATTAGATGGCGTGGGAGGGGGTTTTGTGTCCCGAGGGTTGAAGATGGAGTGGAAAAACTTGCTGAACATGCAATGCCTGTCTGTTGTAAAGGAAACGTCAGTTTGAAGGAAGTGAGCATTTTGTCTCGTTTGCATTGACAATTTTACAGCAGACCATGCCGAAGCGTTTGGGGTTCTCAAAGAAGGACTGTAAGTTTGTTGTTGTAATCTTTTCTTTTCCTTGATAAAGGCTCAACATCGACAGAAGACTTAGCCTGAAACAGCCGCATATTTCTGTCACCACCCCGAAATATGCGTCTGAATTCATTCGTCGAAAACCTTGTCCAGTGACGTCACATTCTTGCGTCCCATCGCTGCATTAATTTTGTATATTAATTAAATGTATATTAGTATGTTAATTTGATATATCATGGAGGAAATCAATCACTTGAAATATGACCTCTCAATCTAATTTACATAAAAGAAATGATATCAAATGTCTTGTGTGCCGT